CCATCATTCATTTTTTGAGTAACCCGTGGTTGTACAGCTTCAAGAACTCTCGAGTCCACAACAGAAGAAGATGTAAAAGATATTCAAAATATTTGCGGGCCACCCTCTCCATCCCTTTGAACCACCGATCGAGGCCATGACACACATGGTTTAACTTTTTTATTGTTGAACCCATCGCTTCTTCCCATAAACAAAGAACTTCACCGTCACTAGACTCCTCGAGTAACCAAGATGCCTCAAAAATGCCAATGTCTAGTAACCTGGGCAATGCTATTTGTCTCTATTAGCAATGGACAATGATCCGATATTGAATGTAAAGATGGGTCAAACGATAGTTCAAAAAAAGAAGGCTCCACTTATTATTAATTAAACCTCTGTCCAACCTTCACGAATGTTCATGTCAGCATGTATTCTTCATTCCCAAGTATACCACGAACCATAGTAACCTACATCGATCAACTCATAGTCCGTCAAAACATGATGAAAAGCCTCAATTTGTCTCTCATTACATAATAGACCCCCTTCCTTCTCATAAGAATAAAGAATTTTGTTGAAGTCTCCTATAACCAGCCAGGGAAGATTAAGCATCGTTCAGCTGCCTAAGCAGGTTCCAGGATTTATGACGTCTAACTTTCTCCGGGGCTCCATAAAAACCAGTGCATCTCTAAACAGAATTGTCAGAACTATCACAAATAATACATCTATATGGGAACTGCAATAAGAATGCAAAGTCACCTCACACGAAGCTTTCCATGGGAGACAAAAAGCTCCAGTACCAAATGCATCTACCTCAATACTGTTAGCAAAACCACAGGATAAGCGAACCCTTTCTATCCTAGATTTCTTTAGCTTAGTTTCCACCAAAAAAAAAACTATAGAGTGGTTAAACTCTCCCAGTGTGTGTCGGAGACGACGAACTGTCTGATATTTCCCCAAACCTTAGACGTTCCATCTGAGAAGTTTCATTGTTTCCGGATGACCTAATCCTTCAGGCCTACCGATATCGTTGAGTTGGAATTGACCGAAACATCCTCCATTTGTATGCTCAATCCTTGGGGTTATTCCTTTATTGTTTTGCAGTGTCCGATTTAACAAAGGGATTCTCTTCATCCGCTGCAGCCATTGTCACATCTGAAGAAACCAAAATACTAGAAGGCAAACCCAAGGAACCCTAAACCTTTGCTTTCAACTAAATTTTACCGAACAGATCTATATAAATAGTTAATCAAATTAGTTGGTCAAACCAGCTAATGGAATCAACATCCAACTATCAGCTATAAGATGTTTGCCAAACACCCCCTTTATATTTTAAACATGGTATTTTCTGTAGTTGATAACCCCGTAAAAAGCCATATTTGATGTCTTTTTACTTAGGTTATTGATTGCTTAAAAGCCCATTTCATTGCATTTAGGATCATTTAGTTGTATTTGGTGGTAATGTTTTGTTGCGACATTTTTTTTATTGACAAAACTGATGATGCTTAATGGAAAGGTCGTGTTTTGTTGATTATGTGCAGGTAAGGAAAGCTAAAGGAAAATTTTGCCGTAGCATGACGGATAAAGAGATATGGAGAACTATTGAAGCTAACGGAGACAACAAAATGCTACAACAATTTTGTATGAAAATTCCTGGGCATAAAAAAGACAGAAATTGAAGATATTTTATGGTGTTATCCAACCCATACGTGAATCTCACCCGCTAGCCCGTCCAACCCACACATGTGAAGGGAATAGTCAATTTTTAAGAGATAAGGATAAAGATAAACAATTACGAGGGGAGTTGGAGAGTTCTTGGGAATTTAAGAGAAATAACTTGAGAGTTAGACTTTATTGTGAAATTAAGAACTTCTTGAAAGTTAGAAAGTCTTTTGTTTTTTAGTTTAAATAAGATATAAGAGAAGAGGAGAAAAAGGAGGCAACAAGAGACAAACAAAGAACTCCGTTATCTTTCATTTTTTGCCTTCTTCAACTTTTTTTGTGGTGTCCTCTATAACCGAGCTTTGAAGGGGTAGCAGCTAGGACCTTGAGAAATGCTAGCATGTTAAGATGGTATATGGTGGTGGAGCTAAGTGTCACGGTAGCAGCTCATTGGGAGTGTTATTCTCTTTGTGCTTTTATTTATTTTTTATCTTATTTTGGGCTTGTACTTAACTCGAATGATCTTGGATGAACTTAGCCACGCCATGAGCTAAATTATTTGGCGTTGGAATTATATTGGATGATTTTATTTTCTGTTAATGGATGATTTGATGTTTTTATGTTTAAAATTTGTTTTGCTCATTGTTGTTAACTTTATGCGTTGTAGCATTGTAAGAGCTTTTAAGAGATTGTTGTTTGCTATAGCGTAATATGATTAGTCTTGTAAGAGCTTTTGAGAGATTGATATTTTCTAAGTACAAATACCTAGTAACGATAGAGCTAGGTTAGATCTACGTGAGCAAGTGAGCCAAATCGGGATAGGGACATTTTAACCTGCCTTAGAGATAAGAAGAAAGTTTCATTCGATTAAAAGAGATAAGATTTAGTTGATAAGCTAGTGTTGCAGTTTACGGTGAGAGGTATTACCGTAGCATTAGTTTTATCAGATTCCTTTCTAGAGAGAATTTAGGAGTATTTTCAGCAAATCTTATCGGGTAGCATACTCATAGGAGCATAGATCATCCGGTCATATCACAAATATTATTGTCATATCAAATCCATGCCAATTACCCCTAGAGGAGCTTGACTGTGCGAGGTTGTCAGTTTTATCTCAACTTTCAAGGTTAAATTTATTTTACTGCTTCACAACTTTTTACAATTTACTTAAAATTCTTGCCTCAACACATTTTTATATTTTTTCAAACTTTCACCACAACAATTTCACTCCACTTTACACCATACTTGTCACAGTATTCCATCAACCTTTATACATACCATCTACAAAAACATCAATTTCATTTGTTCATACCATTATACATATATATTTAGATTTAATTAGTGCCACCTTTTTGCTATAACTTGCTTTTAAAATACCTCTAATTCCTGTGGAGATGATACTCACTCAATATTATATTATTTACATCGATTGTGTATACTTGCACATATTTACGTGCTACAACACTATATATTTACACATGATCAACAATCATCAACGTACGACAAGATTCTTGTTTTGGATGGTGTGATTCACTAACATAGAGTGATGAATGTGCATAGCAAGAAATGATCACTCACCTTCAGCTTTGCTGCATTCCAAACCCAAATAAGGTATTTTATCTAGTATATTACTGTAATATTTTGTGGAACTAACAACCTTATATATCAAAGTCGACATTTATCTGGTTTGAATATTTAAAAGTTGTTTTATATCCTATTTGCATGTCCCAGTAAACATTTACGGTGAATTCCTAGCCATAAGTATAATGTAGGGGCTGTATAATATTGTCGAGATCCATTGGAAATGATATCCTATATTGTTTTGACTTGATATGAATTTTATATTTTCCTATTTGCTTTTAAGCCTATAAAAGTTTTACGTGTTCTTTTTTCTTTTCACTTTTTCTTTGAGGGATCCCTGTTGTTCTTTTTTCTTTTCACTTTTTTTTGAGGGATTTCTATCGTCTGAAGGAACTATTTTCGGGCAATATTTGTTTTTGTTCAATATTTTTTTTATAGAAGTTGTACATGCTTTAAATATAATATGCGTTTTCATTTAGTTTGGCTTCTCTTTGAACCTTGCTTGCCGGTACTGTACCTAAGGCCACATTATTTGACATACACTTGTTCTCTTCTTTAATTCCCACTGAGTTGATTTTTTTCACCAAGTTTTGGTTATTAGCGCCAGTGATGGTGGACTTCTAAATGAATTTGCTCGTCATTCTTCTGTTGAACAGATTGACATATGTGAGCTTTGAAACTTAATAGAAAAATGTTTTTTTATTTGTTTTGCTTAAGAAGAAGAAGAAAGAATAAGAAGAAGAAGAAGAAGAAGAAGGGGAGAGTTAACGGGAGTTAAGTACCACGTCAGCTAAAACTAACAAGAGGTAACGACAGTGATCTTACTGAAAACATAAAAGTTCGATAATTGTTTATACCTTAAATTTAATTGCAAATATTTATTATGTTATAATAATAATTGATTCTAATTTAAATGACTTTCTATAACTATAACTATAACTATAAATATAACTATAACTATATATATATATCTCTCTCTCTTCATATTTTTGTATATGCGATATACATAGACTCGAGTCAAATTTAAAAACCAATTTACTAATTACTAAACAATTTGAATTATACAAATATTTGAGTCTATTTTTTAAATTTAATTTTTATTTAATTTTTTTAATCAAATTTATAAAATTACAAGTCAAATCAAGTCGAATTGAATTTTTAAACGTCAAGTCAAGTAGAAAAAAAATGGCTGTCTCTTTTTCTATATATATAGATAAGGGGAGGTAAGATAGTAGACTACCCCCAACACCAAATTAAGAATAACTTTCGTAAGAGATCTGCAAATTATGAAATACAAAAAAAAACTAATATTTTTAACTTAATCGAATTTTGAATCACAAACTCTTATAAAGCGTGGGAGCCATCGTATTGTTACGTGTCAAAATTATACTCGCAGGACCACCAAAATTATTGGTTTTGCTTGCGCACCCAAACATTGCCCTCTCAACCCTCCTTCCGTCAACCTTCCCCTCGTTCAGCTGCGACTCCAAACCTCCCTCCTAACCTTACCTTCGAATCCGAACCTCAATTTTGCCCCTCTGTTCGTTGAAAATTTTGCACTCTATTTTGATCACTTTATCGCTCTCTCTCTCTCCATCTTTATCTTCGAGCTAAAACAAAAACGCCCAATTTCCAAACCCTAACAAATTTTCTCACGATTTTGATACTCTTTCAGGGATCGTTTTTTCGAGCTCCATTTCAATGGCCTCGCCACTCCATTGTAAGTTTATTTATCCTCTCTCTCTCTCTCTCTCTCTATAGCCCTAATGTATTTTTTTGCCAAGTTTTTTTTGTATGAGATGTTGAATCGATGGTCCGGATTTGATAGATTAGGGCTGGTCAGTTGTGTTGTTTGTGTTTCGTTCTAGTGACGAGGATTGCTTGCTGCCTTTTGGATCCTCTTTTGTATGTTAGGTTAGAAATGTTCGATTTTTACGGAAATTTTGAGTTTAGTATCTGTTTGTTTGCCGGGAAAAGGGAGGGAGGGATGACTGGGATCTTCATCGTGGGGAATTGCAAATTTTAAATTGAGCTGAGGTTGTAGTGATTCTTTTCTTTCTTCTATACGAAAGGTTAATGTTTTCTCTTTTTAAACAATCTAGTTTCAAGAATTTGTCATTACTAGTGAATTTATGTCCGTACTTCACCTGTAGTATCCTACTTTGTTGCTTCTCGAGTTTTTTTTTTTTGGAGTTCTTTGACATTGATATGGTAGCCTTTGATGTTTTGTTTTTTGTTAATAGGGAGGTTTCCTTTTCCTCTGGCTGATGAGTTCTTTGACATTGGTTTTATTACTGGCGTTCTGTTATCCGTATCTGTATGTACCTGATTTGTCAGACTGCTAACTTCAAATAAGCGCATCTGAATTTATTGATTTAAGTAAACCACCTTTCATTAATTTTCATTAATATGAAGCTTGTGTTTCATGCTCATTATTGAGCGTGGCACCTAAATTGGCAATATAACAAATACGAACTGTGCCATTAGATTGTTATACCAACTGAAGAAAAGAAAGGTGGAACAATTTGCATGAGTAGATAGTTGCCTTAACTTGAAGCATCTTTTGTTTCCATGAAGAGATGATATGTTAGACTTTATCCATGCAGGAAACATCACAACCAGGGTGAATGTTTAAATGTACAGATGAGGTTTGTTTCCAATTTTTCTTGGATTTAAAGAAGGATTCTTATGGTTGCGTGGCATATAACGGAACTGAAAGCATGTTAAGAATTTAACTTAGTTCTAATTATTTTAGGAAGTGATTTTTCTCTCAAACCATTAGCTGCTGAGTATTTTTGGCTTGGATTATCTCTATGCCTGGCAACGAAGTTGGGGACAGGATCCATAATTTCCTTGGTCAGAGGGTTCCCAAGGCCAGCATCATTCGCCGTACCTTGACACTTCCTGGCATGGCTTAAGTAACAATCTATGGGTTGGAGGCCAGAGACAAGTTGGTGGACCTCTTGTTTCCAGTTTGAAGAATTTTAGTGCACATCAATTAGGTAATATGCAGGCATCTTGATTGTTAAGTTTCTGCTCTCTTTTGTTACTGCAATTTCGATTTTAGAGCATGGTTGTAGCATGCTTCCTGACCACTGTTCAATTGACTTCGTTATACTCTTTTGGAATTAGTTGATTCTGATGGAGGATATGGTGGTCAGTCTTCAAACCAGCCTCATGACATGAACTTCACTCAATCTGGTTTGAAGCCTGAGATAGCTAGAAGTCAATTACAAACCCAATCACCAAATGCAAATGGCTATTTTCTAGGGCATCAGGCTCTTCAGACAAGGCAGAATGAAACAAACTTTTTGGGAATGGATGCAGTATCTAGATGCTTATCACCTCTTGATTCACAGATAGGAAATGGTCCTAATCTTCAGAAGAAAAATTCCCTGAGGTTGGAAACTACTCAATCTCCTGTAAATTATGATTTTTTTGGAGGGCAACAGCAAATTACTGCACAGCATTCTGGCATGATCCAGCCTTTGTCTAGGCAGCAATCAGGGATGAATGACATGCAGCTATTGCAGCAACAGCAACATGCTATGCTTAAACAAATGCATGAATTACAGAGGCAACAACTCCTGAAGTCACAGTTTCAGTTACCGGAAACAAGGCCGTTGAGCTCCGCAAATCAGGTTTCCTCTACTGTAAAACAGGGATTTTGTAGCCTTTCTCCAGCTCCAATCAATGGCCTTCCTCTCCATGATGCTTCAAATTATTCTTGGCAGCCTGAGCACATGACACCAAATGCAAATTGGCTGCAGCATGGTGCATCTCCAGCCATGCATGTATCCTCTGGAGGATTTACGTTTCCCCCTGAGCAAGGGCAAGTGTCTTTGATGGGTTCGGTTCCTCAACAGGTTGATCAATCCTTTTATGGGATCTCAACTGGTGGTGCAAGAAGAAACCCATATCACCATTCTCCTGTCCAAGCGGATAAGCCTTCAATGCAGCAGGTGCCAGCCAGCAGTAATTCTTTTCCAGTTAATCAGTATGCCGTAACTATAGATCAAGTTGGCTTGCTAGATGAAACTTTGGTTTCTAGACAGGATGATCAGGGTGGAAATGTGTTTGGGGCTGCAGCAGGACAAGGCTTAAATATTGGATTTCATTCAGAAAATTTGCAGGAAATGACTATCCAGCCAAAAAACGAGGTGATGCAGGAGTCTTGTGGAAGGCAAGAACTTCGTGGTCCATCGGAAATATTCCTGGATAAGTCAGAGATTCAGGCTGCTCCCTCACAGAGTGTGGCTACACTAGATGAAACAGAAGAAAAGATCTTATTTGGTTCAGATGATAGTGTGTGGGATATCTTTGGAAGGAGCACCAACATGGGCTCATTGTTGGATGGTACGGACTCATTCGGGGGACTGCCTTCTTTGCAAAGTGGCAGTTGGAGTGCACTTATGCAGTCTGCTGTAGCAGAAACATCTAGTAATGATTTAGGGGTACAGGAAGAGTGGGGTGGTTTAGGTGTGCAGAATAGTGGATCTCCAAATGGGAATATTCCATCACAAATTGTCAATGATGGCAGCAAAAATCAGTTGGCTTGGGATGATAACAAATTGCAGCTTGCGTCGACATCAAACTCTAAACCTTTTCCAATGTCTAGTGATGCCAATATCAATCTTGACTTTTTTAGCATCCCTGGGGTTCAGCAATCAGGAGTCCAGATTGCAAATGAACAGACTGAGAAAATGCATAATTACTCATCTCAGAAATTTGTTCAACAGTTAACAGAAGAAAGAGGCAAAAGGTTAGGTTGCAGTCCGCTACAAAAGCCTGTAGCTGAAAGTGTGCAATTCTTTGGAAATGTTGCTCACTCTCCTAATGTGCAAGTAAGCGCCAAGAACATTTCAGGTCACCAACAAGACATAGCTGTACATAACATGTGTGTTCAGCCACATAATAAGCCAAACGGTTGGAACTTCATTGACTCTACATCACATAGAGGTGATGCTATATCAAGAAGTCAGGATATTGGTTCTCAGAATAATGATCATAGAAGTGCAATTTATGAGGAAAAAGGCCATGGTTCTGCAATCGATCATTCCATTTCTGATGCAAATATTGAACGGGGAAATTTAAATTCCAGCTTGAGAAGCCTACATGTGAATAGAGAATGTTCTGACTTGGATAATGTTGCTGCAGTAGCAGATTCAAGAACCAAAAAGGTCACTGAAAGCTGCCAGCAACTTCCAAACAATCATAATGGTTGATCTCAGGAAAAATACTGATTCTAAATTAAACTGTGTCCAAAGCAATGTTCAAGCAAAATATCAGCACAATCAGGATAAGAATCCCAAAGCTTTTGATTCATCTGGAAATGATTGCTTGGAGAAGGGAGCATATGACGATGAAGCAAATATGTTGGACAATCACAATGTCAAAGAAACTAGCAATGACAGTTTTCACCCAAACTCATTCCACCATTCTTCTATTGGTGGCATGAGAGACAATGTCTGGATGGATGTAAATGATTCACGTGGAGGAAAACAGAAGTCACCTGTTCGTATCAGTCATAAGCCTTCTGGAATCCGTAAATTTCAGTATCATCCTATGGGGGATCTAGATATGGAGGCTGAACCGTCATATGGAACTAAAAGTGTTGCACATTCACAGGAAACATCCCAACATGTTTCGCAAGGATTGAAAGGTCACAACCAAGGATACTTTGGGCAGTCAAAATTTACTAGTTATAGTGCTAGAGAGCCTATAGAATCTGAGAAGGTAATTTTTGGCGTGGAATTGCCAACTTTTTTTTTTCTGTTCCCTGTACAACTGCTGAAATTTGCTTTATTTTTAAGAGTAACGAAATTCTTGGAAGGCTAAACAATTTTTATTAATTTTCTCCTACTTAGGGGTGTTTTCCTAGCATTCACGCAAATGAGGTACCTTCAAAAAGATTGAATCAGGGTTCTGCTTCTGACAGATATTTTGTTGGTTCTGTGCCAAACAATACAACTCCAGTGAGGTAGTTGAATATTTGTACTTATTTTTTTAGCTTGAGTTGAACTTCATGCTTTTTGAAATTTTTATTGTTTGTGATAATTTAGCTACAAATAATGTTCTCTTTGGTTGTTAAAACTACAATAGTAAAAACATATTCAGCATATATATTTGCTATCTGATTTTCTTTTTGGTAAAGCTGGCACTTTAGCTTTCATTATTATTATTTTTCTTGTGTTGGTTTTCTTATTTACTTTCTATTTTGCTCTTAATATTTCAATATTTCACAGTCAAAGCATGCTGGAGCTTCTTCCTAAGTTTGATCAGCCAAGAGAACATGGTACTGCAACACTCGTAAGCTCTTCTGAACACAATCTATCATCTGAAATGCCAGATACAGAAACTTCTGATGGATCTGTGGGCCAGTTTCAGCATAATAGGCCTTCTACTTCCCAAGGTTTTGGTTTACAGTTGGGTCTTCCATCTCAAAGGTTTATCATTCCTGATCGTGCAATCTCATCTCAGAGTTCTCCCCAAGTAGTTAATTCTTTAAATTCAGTTCATGTCACTTCTGAGGTAGAAAGGAAGGGTCATGCATGGTTGGATCCAAAAACTTCTGTTCAGTCCTCAACTTATGGAACATCCTCTGGAGACTTTAGGAATAACATTTCAAGTGGTTCTGATTTCTATTTAAAAGGTCTTCAAAGCCAGCATGTTCCTAGTGTGAGTAGTCAGGCAACTTCAAGTGCATCTATGAATGCACCTTTTGGCAGGTTGGCATCTCTGCCCAAGCAAACTGATGACTCTTCTGAGAGAGCTCAAACTAGTCAATTGCGCAGGAAACCAGCACCTCGCATACCTAAAACTGCTGCAGATAACAATCTTGCTTCCTCAGAGACTTCTCGGCCAAGTAGTAGCGTCCAAATCCACGCAGGGGATCCAGGCCAGCAATATCCAGTTTTGGAAGCTCTTCCAGCTTCCCAACCATCTGTTACATCCGAAACTCCAAAGCCAGGTTCTTTTACCAAAATGCCCGTTGGGTGGACCAGTGTTTCCGCCCCACATCTACTATTAGCACAGTCATCTCAGGCCTCCCAAAATTTGTTTAATCATCAATCAAACATTAACTCTGAAACAACTCTTCCTGGAACAAAGAAGCTAGACAATCAAATTGCTGAGGCAGGAGATTGTAATCAATCTGAGTTGCCTGCAGGCTCTGCTAAGCCACAGAGCTTTGTTGGAGAGGAGCCACCAGCAAAAGATCAGCAGTTATTGGCAGAGAATGGTCCCAGCCACATCCTGCAACTATCCCCCGAAAGATCAATGCTCTTGGCCACTCTTTGAGTCCAAATAATACTGTAAATCAAAATCATTCATTGTTGCGTCAGGTGCAGTCCATGAAAGATATAGAGATTGAACCAAGTAATAGGAACGTCAAAAGATTTAAAGGCCCAAGTCTAGACTCTGCTTTGAATACTCATCAGGTAAGTTCTGAAAGTGCGGAGCAGTTATCTTATGGATCTGATACTATGATGAAAGATGCTCAGGTCAATTGTCTGTCAGCTCCTTCTAATGATATCCTGGCATTCACTCAGAATGATTCCCAGCATATCTCTAGTGCTGATAATTCATCTGGTAATCTCAAGGGCAGACTCTCTGAAATAAGTCCCCAGATGGCTCTATCCTGGTTTGATCGGCATGGAACATTCAAGAATGAGCAAATGTCCTCCCCATTTGATGCTCGAAAAATTGCCATGAAGGCTGCTGAAAAATCAGTCATTGTTGCTACGCCTTCTGAAAGTTCACATGCTCTTCATTCAAGTGAGCAGGTTATTGCTGCTGCTGATGTTAGTCAGCTAGATAATGCCTGTAGAAACTCGAAGCCGATATCGAGTAAGCAGATCTCCTCTCAATCACTGCCTCCTGATATCACAAATCAGGATTCGGTTGTGGTGAAAGCAAAAAAGCGTAAAAGTATGGCATTTGAGCTTCTACCATGGCATAGAGAAGTAACACAAGTTTCTAAAAAATCTCATAACATCAGGTGATTGGAATAAATAACCCATTTTCTGCAGTTACTTTTAGCAGTATAGATGTCAGTGACCAAAAGCACTAAAGTATTTCCCGATATTGTCTGCAAAAATCATTTGCTCCCCTCTTACCATGTTTATGTTTTTCTTAATTTTGTAATTATATTGAAGTTTTCTGTTGACCACAGTTCGGCAGAGGTGGAATGGGCGCGTGTAGCAAATCGATTTATTGAGAAGGTTTGTTCGGTGTTTTAACCGTTTTACTTTGCTGTAATCTTGTTCTTTCCTAGAACTGGGACAGTTTTTAGCTCAAGGACATTGATCTTATCACAGGTTGAAGATGAACCTGAAATGATTGAAGATTGGACTCCAGTGGTTAGATCAAGAAGAAGGTTAATCTTGACAGGGCAACTTATGCAGCAACTACTTCGTGCTCCTCCAAGAGTATTTCTTTCTGCCGGTGCTAGCAAAAATTATGAGGCTTTGGTCTATTTTGTTGCCAGATCAGTCTTAGGAGATGCATGCAGCACAGCATTTGTACCGGAAAGTGATACTGCTGTTTGTTCTGAGAGTGAAAGCACGTAAGAACATGTTAATATTGTTTGGAATCCTTGAATCCTGTTTTTACTGATCTTATCTGCTGATCATTGTTGCTATTAACTGATACTATCTGACGGATTTTTTTTCTTTTGATTTGCTTTTAGCTTCTTGGAAAAGCTTAAGGAGAGAAACCAGTCCACCTTAAACGCGACAGAAGATTTTATCAGCAGAGCAAAAAAGCTTGAAAATTATTTACAGAGGTAACTCACATCTAGTTCTCGCAAATTTCTTTTATGCATGTTATTTCTTTTGTTGGTCGTTTGCAACATTGTTATTAATGGGTGAACACCTTATTTTTAATTATGAAGTTCAATGTTTGTGGTAAGAATTTCCCCTCACAGACCACCCATTAAATTTGATTTTTTTGTTGTCGTCATGGGTTTGCCGATGTGTCATAGGTGAATTTATCAGTAAGGTGCGCTCTTAAACAAGCAAAATTATGCAGAAGGGGCTTCTTTGTCAGTTCTGTTGGTTTCCCTTTACCGATCTTAGTATTTGCCCAACATAGGCTTGATAATCGTTTGGCTCTTGAGGTGCATTATGCCTTTTGAAAGTATGCTGCCGTGTATGTTTCTTGGTTATTTTGCTTAGGTGTTTAACCACAATATTATTTTTTGCTACGATTTGCATATGTTCGAAACAAAAGTTCACTAGGCCCATTTGATGGCCGTGCCAGTGCCAATTATCTTATCTCCAAATGTTTCCACTTTTTTATGCAGTCTGGATAAGAGAGCCTCAATCTTGGACCTAAGATTGGAATGCCAGGATCAAGAGAAGGTTTCCGTCATCAATCGTTTTGCCAGGTTCCATGGTCGTGGGCAAGCTGACGGGGCTGAAACTTCATCCTCCTATGCGATTGCTAATTCTCACAAATTCTTCTCCCAGAGATACGTAGTTGCTCTACCAATGCCCCGTAATCTCCCTGACAGAGTACAATGTCTTTCCCTTTGATCATTGCTTGAATGATTTTTTTCCTTCCAAATTTAAAATCAATGATGGGATCTTTCCATCGGGGGCCATTCGTGTTAGTTTCTGAATATATATATATATATATATATATATATATTACTTCTGAATACTTGTCTGGAAATGTCGAGAGAGTTTAGGGTAAAGCCCCATGATTTTTGGTAAATGGGGAACAAAAAAAAAGCTCAGTCTTGAGGTAAAAAAAATATTGTATTTATTATTGAACCTTTTGGATGCCTTTCATTCATAAGAAAAGGGTTCATGCATTTCTCATCCTCTCTGTTATTCTCTCTTAGGCTGAAAGAAAATATTATTTTGTTTGCTCGAAAAATAAGGATGACAACGGAGTAGGACGGTGATGTGGATTGCTTTATCTATCCGTGTCTCGCTCTTGAATGGTTGTTGATTATTATTGTCATTTGATGAAAGGTACTCGGTTAATTGTGTGAATGAAGTAAACCATGTTCGAATAATGGATATTCGAAGTTTTAGATCTGTAATCGCTTTCGAATTTGTTGCTGCCAACCTTAATTAGGTTGGAATCTGTAAATCTCAAAATCAACACTTTCATTGCGGTCAGTACTTTGGTCTTCCAGCTCCTCTATAACATGTCTCTTAATTAATGAAGAAAATTTAAAATATATAAAAATGACTTTGATAAACAAAATTAGTTATACAATCTTACAAATATACTATTTAATTTTGAAATTCTCGCTTATTTATTGCTTTTATAATTAAGTTGTTGTCTGATTGACTGGTAACATGAACTTAATATTAGATAGGTAAATAGAACAATACTTATGATATTTAATACGATATGTTGACTTAATCTTATATATTTGAAAGTTTTTAGGTAATAGCACGACACTTCTCAAACTTATTTGTAAAGTGTTGCAAAGTTCAAGTACATAGCATCACTAAGAACCCTAAAATTCATGTTTAAGGACCTTTTTGGAAAGTATTACCAAGTTTAAGGACTCAACATCATTAAGACCCCTAAAAATTCATGTTCAGGAACTTATTTGGAAAGTGCTTCCACGTTTGAGGAGTCAACATCATAAGACAAACCTAAAAAAGCATGTTCATCTTCATGGACCTATTTGAGAAGTGGTTCCAAGTTCAAGGACTCGATACCATAAAAAACCTACAAAATTATGTTCATGGACCTATTTGAGAATTGTCTCCACGATCAAGGACTCAACGTCATCAAAAGACCTAAAATCACGTTTAAGGATCTATTTGGGAAGTGTTGCCGAGTTCAAGGACTCAATATCATAAAAGAAACTTAAATATTCAAGTTTAGAGACCTATTCGGGAAGTGTTACAAATTCAAGGACTCATCATCATAAAAGAAACTTAAACATTCAAGTTCAGGAACCTATTTGAGTGTCGTCAAGTTTAAGGAATCGACACTGTAAACATCTATTTTTGTCTTGGACCTTTCCATTATAGTAGCGTGATATATATTATAGTATAATATAATATAATATATATATATATATATATATAATATATATGTATATATATTATAGTATATATTATAGTTATGTATTATATATTATTATATTATATAGTATATATTATATAATAATATATTATATATAGTATATATATTTTTAGGTCCAACCCAATTCGAAAAATTTAAGGGTTCAGGAGACTGTCCAGTCCAACAGTGGCCCAATTGAGCATGCGAGCCTGACCCAACAAGCAAGCCCAGTTAAGATTCAGGCATGTTCTAGCCCAAGTCAGTTAGAGTTTCCAGTATTTTTAGTACAAACGTCGCAATATCAGAGCCGTTAGATTGAAGGATTAATCAACGGCCCGCATCAAAGGCAATTATGGATTTAACCCTAAAAAAATAATATCACAGTGCATGCGCAACTACACTATGACCATTAGATCCGCCTTTTGATCTAACGGTCCAAAACGCACCATGGGTCACCAACCGACTGATATGGCGCGTGAAGACTACGCGATATCGAAAGAAGCAATATGCGCTGATACGAGCTAAATCGAAACATCTGAAGGCATTTTTGGTAACCAAATCCGAACAGATCGAAGCAAAGGGGAAACATTTCTCGGTGGCATGTGAATTAAACCGAAGATGGCAACAGAATCAAAATCAACAAAAGTCAACTGAATCCTCAACGAAAAAAGGAAAAAATCCTCTTAGCATGCAAATCGAAATCGGACAAAAAAGGAGAAAATAATCCTTATCAGATTCCAATAGTTTTAGGATCATGAGATCACCGAAAAAAGGAAAGAAGAACACACCATGGCTATAATCTGCAAATCGAACGAGACAAGAGCGAAGTATTCGAAACCTATCCAAAGAAATTCAAAAGAAAGGAGAAGAGAAAACTTACTTTTTGTTTCATCGGAGAAGCGAACGGTTGTCTGAAAAAAAAAGGTAAAACCGAGCCTTGCATGCTTCAATTGCGTCGATGGGGGCGTTTTTTTTGACATTAGGGGCTCAAATTTAGGTTTAGAAGAGAGACAATAATGTTTTTGGCTAGTTTATAGGCCCCGACCACAGATGATGGTTGCTGGAGCGACGGTCGGAGATGGTGGCTAGGCGTCGGTGGGGTGGTTGGTTTAGGTTAGGGGAGAGCAAGTTGAGAGAGTTTTGGGTTTTGTTTTTGAAGTGAGATGTGAGAAATGAAATAAAAAGAAATTTTTTGGCTATTTATAGGGGACTAGGTTATAATTAGTAATTTTTAAAATTATTTGTGAAGTCACTGTATGTTTGATGTGTAATTCATTTTGGTCACTATTTGTAACTTTACCTTTGAATTTTGAATTAATTCAATTTAATCATTTAATGTTAGTTTTATATTTTTATAAATTGGTGCATTGACCCATTTTTTTTATTGTTTTGCGGCTTTCATCTAACCTTAATTTAACGACTGAATTTTAACTTATTTCAATTTAATCCTTTTTATTTATGCTTTTCATATTTTTACAAATTGATACCCTAATCCATTTTTTATATTTTGCAGTAAATTTTTAAACATTTTTTGTAGGATCTTTTAATTATCAAAATTAGTCAAAGGTAAGTAATTTGGATCAAACATTTAAAATTTTAATTAAAATTTCAATTTTCACAATTAAGACAATCGGATAATCATTTTGGTATCGAAAGGGCAATATTTTGGTAACCAAATCGGAGCAGATCGACACAAAGGGGAAACATTTTTCGGTGGCATACAAATCAAACCAAAGATGGCAACAGAATCAAAATCAACCAAAGTCAACCGAATCTTCAACGAAAAAAAGAAAATATCCCCTTATCATGCAATTGAAATTGGACAAAAAAAGGAGGAAATAATCCTTATCAGATCCCAATAGTTTCATGATCATGAGACCACCGAAGAAAGGAAAGAAGAACCCACTATGGCTATAAAAAACCCTCTACAAATCGAACGTGACAAGAGCGAAGTATTCGAAACCCATCCAAAGAAAGTCACAAAAAAAATCAAAAACGAGAAGAGAAAGCTTAGCTTTTGTTTCGTCGGAGAAGCGAACAGTCATCGAAAAAAAAAGTAAAACCCGAGCCTTTCATGCTTCGATTTTTGTAGATGGGGGCGTTCATTTGACATTAAGGGCTCGGATTTAGGTTTAGAAGATAGAGAATAGAATTTTCAATTAGTTTATAGGCCTTCGGGCACTGGTGGTGGTGGCCGGAGTGTCGGTCGGCGGTGGTGACTAGGCGCCGGTAGGGTGTCCGGTTTAGGTTGGGGGAGAGCAGGTTGAGAGAGTTTTGGGTTTTATTTTTGAAATGAGATGTGAGAAATAAAATAAAATGAAAATTTTGGGCTATTTATAGGGGACTAGGTTGTGATTAGAAAATTTTAAATTATTTTCACAGTCCTTGTACTTTTGTTGCGTAATTCATTTTGGTCACCCTTTCTAATTTTACCTTTTACTTCTGAATTAATTCAATTTAGTCCTTTAATGTTACTTTTATATTTTTATAAATTGTACCTTGACCATTTTTTTTATTTTACAGCTTTCATCTAGCATTAATTTAACCCCTGAATTTTAAATTATTTCAATTTAATCATTTTTATTTATATTTTTCATATTTTTACAAATTGGTACCGTGATCCATTTTTTTGTGTTTTGCAGTATTTTTTTTTATTTTTTAAACATTACTTTTGTAGGATCTTTTAATTATCAAAATTCATCAAAAGTAAGTAATTTGGATCGAACATTTAAATTTTAATTAAAATTTTAATTTTCGCAATTAAGACAACTGGGTAATCATGTTGGTACCAAAAGGGCAGTATAAGGGTGCTCATCATTCTTTGACTGCAATTGACTCTTGAATCCGACTAATTTCTGGTAAGGTGCAGATCAGATAAAATGTAAGTTTTAGGTGTCCGATCAATCTAATTCAAAATCATCGGTGGCGACTCCATCATATCAAGTCGAAACACAATTTTGGGACCACTCGAAGGACCGTTGCGACATACACCATAAAAGAAACTTAAATATTCGAGTTTAGGGACCTTTTTGGGAAGTGTTGCCAAGTTTAAGGACTCAACATCATAGCACGAACCAAGCTACCGCAATAGTGATTAAAGAATGATTGCTATCCTTAAAAGTCTCAGATTCGAGCACCAAGAGAATGTATGGTATTTGAGCGTTCGTTGTGAAAATACCTTAGATTAAACATCATAAAAAGAACCTAAAAGTTCATGTTTAGGGCCTATTTGGGAAGTGTTGCCCACATGGACGGACGTATGATTTTATGTTAAGGGGGCGAACTTAAACTTAAGAGGGATGAACTAAAATTACAGGAGAACTAAAATTCTAGGGGCAAAACAGATTTCAATACTAAATTACCCAAAGTTCAACGACCAAACGATGCTTTACCCTAAATATTCAGACTAAATTGAAGTGACTTAAAATGCAAATTACCCAAAGTAAAATTACCCAGTTCTATATAAACAGCAAACGTCAGAAGCCACCTGAAAACCAATGCGGTTTTTCGTCAGTAAAACCACCGAAGGATCATACGAAGACTGTTCAAAGACCGCGACTTTGTTGACACATCTGTTTAGTCTCTTCCATTTCCCCATTTCTTCAATCTTATTTTTGGGGATTAAATCTTAGAGGAAAGTGTTCCGGGGGGGGGGGAAGGAAACTTTCAGAAAATTTGAAATATGGGATGTTGTCAAAGTAGAGGCGCTGATTCCAAAGCTAATAGGATTGCTCGATGGCGATCAACCGGCATTGTTGCTTTACGTGACGCCAAATTGAAGGCAAGAATTTTTTTTCTTGGGTTCTTCAATTTTTGTTATTCTTTTACATAATTCAGAATTCAAGTGTTTTTGTGGAAGTATATTGGTGTTTTAGATTATGACGATTTCTGGATTTATCTTAATTTGTTTGATTCGGTGTTGTTTCATAGTTTTTAAGAGTGCTTGTATTTGTTATATGATAGATCGATTCCTTTACACAATTAGTTTTAAATAATTTTAAATGTTTTGGAGAATTACAAATTAGAAAGGCTTTCTTCTTGAAGAATGGAAGGCCTGAGTTTGCCTTTAGTCTACTAGGCCAAAATTGCTATTGTTTTAGTCATTAGTTTATTTTTGATCAATTACAATTAGGGCTGAGGAAAAAAAACCTTGAAAATCAGACATTGATCCCTAGCATTTGGTGTGGTTTTTATTGAATTTGGCCTGTTTCAGCTCAGGTGGTAATAATTAATTATATTTTTTCTGGTTCGGTTAATCGGTTTACGGTTTGTTAGTTAAAAACCGCTATTATCCCATGTTCCAACTGAGCTGGATTTTTATTTAAAACCGATGAATCAAATCAATCTGAAATGATTGAATTCGGTTTAAATGGCAAACAAAGAAAGCCTTAATCTACATGTTCACCTTTGTGTGGGGATCAATTACAATTAATTTGAGCAGGGTTCATGTTAATTTATTATTCAAATTTTATTCTGTATTGATTGAGAAAACATGGAAGTTCAAATGCATTCTAAGGCATTTGTTCAATTGTGTGTTTTCTTGTGAATGCTTTGACTTGAACAGACATTTCCCGATGAGGTTCTTGATCTGGATAGATCTGTGCGAACTCTTGATTTAACGCACAATAAATTAGGTATGGGCTCTCCCAGCTTAAGAACTTTCACTAAAGAAAACTCTTAAACAGCCTAGTGAAACCTTGGTTTTTACTGTTATTAATCAATCTTGTCCTGCCACGCAGTTGAAATTCCTATGGATATCAGCAACTTAGTCAACATGCAGCGCCTGGTAAGAATTACGCAATTGTTGAATGCAATATTTATAGACGCCGAATAATGCTGTTCGGATGTTGAATTAATGATGAATCAAAGGTGAAAAAGTGATATAACAACTTTCTTCATTCTTTCTTTTTCTGCCACTTTCACATGTTGGTAACTGTTAGGAAACTAAATGTTCTCTTATATTTAAGAAATGCGTTCAATTAAAATATTTTATCAAGCAGCTGTATGTACTTGATAGCATATTGGCTTATTGTGATGATGAAAAGATTTAGTTTCTTTTCCTAAAATCAAGATTGTGAAAGCTGAGCTACCTTTTAAAGTATTTCTTTCTTTTTTCCTCTTACAGATTTTAGCCTCTAATCTTATCGAGCGACTACCAATTAATCTTGGGAAGCTTCAGGCTCTAAAAGTTATGATACTTGATGAGAATCATATTACTTCCTTGCCTGATGAATGTAATACCCTTTTCTAAATAAGAAAAGTCTATTATATACCCATTTCTTGCCTCCATCGTTTGCATATTTGCTTCACGGCAATGTCTGCAAACTTCACGGGGTAAGTGTACTGTCTCAATGGCTTCTAACTCCATTCTTCTGTCCAGTGGGCCAGCTGGTAAGACTTGAGAAGTTATCGATCTCTGGAAATATGTTAATGTCCTTGCCCGAGACTATTGGCAGCTTGCGCAATGTAAGTGACTCTACTTATTGATTATTTAACCTTGGGGAACTGTTCTTGATACTTGGTTTCACAAATATTTACATCTTTATTTGGTTTAAGCACTAGTAATAACCTCAAGATCAGCCAAATTAATCTTATTTTGACTTTTATGTGTAATTTTATTGTTATACGTTAATGGAGAAAAAGAATGCTAAGAGGGATTAGACATTTATTAAAGTGCCAAATAAACCAACTATAAATGATTGTGGTATATCATATGTTTAGAATGTTTTAGATAGTGTATGGATCTAATTTTTTTTAATGCAGTTGTCATTGCTTAACGTGTCTAACAACAAGTTAAAGTATCTTCCTGAATCAGTTGGGAGCTGCTTTTCTTTGGAAGAGCTGCAAGCAAATGGTATGTTTATGCATGCATATTTAACGGTTCTCACTTTTTTACTAAAACTGCTTGTCTGCTTTTAAAAGATCATCTGTTAAATATGTTTTTTTCAAGTGTTGGTTCAGGATTCTGTCTTCTTTGACGATGATTTGTCTTTGGTTTAGTAGCATCATGGTTGGTTTTGAAAATCTTCTGGTGTGTTTATTTGGAAATGCTTCATACTGTAGTTGCGATATTTTTATGAGCTACATAATATCTGGCCTTGGTCCTCCAGAGTTGGGATGCATACAGCATAACCTGGGTAAAATAAAATTATACTGTGAGGTTTTGTGGTTGTCATTTAGTTGATAGGAGATGAAAGGGTGCGTGGCCGAGTATGAACTCTGTATTTCACAGATTTATAATTAACGACTACAATAGTTGTGGGGTACACTTTCATGATTTCCATCATATTTCTATAACTTATGGATTCATAACTTTGTGTAAATTTGCAGATAATCTTATCGAAGAACTTCCTGCATCTGTTTGTATCTTGTTCACTTGAAGTCACTTTGCTTAAACAATAACAAAATCAGCCAGGTAGTTAATAGACTGTTCACACCATTTCTAACTTCCCCTGCTGCGCAACACTAGGTAGTAGTATATATATTATATTCTTTTTATATCCCTTGCACAAGTTGTGCTGGTTACGTACATTACTCAGATTTGGGTGGAATGTCGAATACGTGTTCTATAGAAGTATGATTAGAAGTATTCAGAGGATGCTTGGAGGTCATATTTTGTACCCATGTATTGGACATGAGTTTTGAACGCATTTGTTTTGCATTTGGGGTGTCATATCCCCTTACTTATGGAAATGTATAGGACATAAATGCCGAACATTTGTACTAAGGCAAAAATGAAGAGTTAGAGCAACATAGTTCTTAACCCAAAGAATGTATACTTTATATCATTCAATCATACTAAAAAAATAAAGCAGGCATATCTTATCTGGTGGAGAGCTATAGTTCTCGTGTATTGGCTGCGTAGAACCTTGGTTGCTCCAACACTTTATAGTTCTCTAGTATTATCTATATTTGTGTGTCTGACAAATTTTCGAATATGGGTATAGAGATATGATCTTCCAAAGATCCTCCCAATACCTAGAAAAACCTCAAAAAATAAACATACTAGTATCCAACACTCACATCCAAGTTTGAGTACAATAGCATGGAACTCCCTCTGTGATTGCCAGCTTATACAAATATGAAGTAGCATTATTCTAAATTCAGGTTACTGAATGGGAAAAAATTTCCAAATGTTAAGCTCTTTAGATTTTGTTTAATAAACATTGTTTGAGGTCAACGTTTTTTAGTTTGCTTACGATATATACACGGATATCTCTTGGTTGACAGATTCCTCCTAATTTATTGAAAGACTGCAAAGCTCTTCAGAATATTTCGCTGCACGACAATCCTATTTCAATGGATCAGTTTCAGCAAGTAAGTATTTCCATGATTCAGTGCTAGATATGTTTCAATTTTCCTGTGTGTATGTGTGGTCTGGAGTTGGGGAGGGGGGGGGGGGAATACTAAAGCTCCACATGTTCTAACCAACCAAAAAAATACATCATCAGATGGAAGGGTTCCAAGAATTTGAAGCAAGAAGGAAGAAGAAGTTTGACAAGCAAATTGATTCAAATGTGATGATTGATTCGAAAGGCCTCGATGAGGGTGTTGATCTATAACTCTGCTGCATTCACTGTTCTGGTAAGATCGAATCTTACAGCATTAAGGTTATAGCACGTATATGGAAACATATATTGAAGAACTAGCAAAGTGTTTTTTTTTTCCTGAAATGAAGCATGTGTTATTAATTTTAATGTTGTTATGATGGTACTCGATATGATGCTCTCTGTTTTGTGGCTAAGTTTAGAGGGCTTTGTGAAGTATCTAGTTTAACATTTCTCGCTATTAACCCTACAATCAGATATAAAATGAAGTTATTGGATGAAACAACTTGCTTGATGTTCGAGTCTCGTTTTTTTATGGCTTAACCATAATTTTTTTTGAACCTTTTGAAATTTAAGACGAGAGAATGCATTATTACGAACTGGAAAAATTGGCGAAATCAGTTGTTGCTGATATGTATGACATAGAGCTTATTGGCTTTAATTAAGATTTCTTAATATTTTTGTAACATGTACTTGGTAAGACCTAGTAAGGCATCAAGTAAAATTTCGGCATGGGTCGAGGTTGTAGGAATCTTTTCTTTCGAGGATGGGGCTAAAATATCAAAAGAAAATGAAGTTGTTTGGGCAGGTGAAGTTATAAATACATAAAATTCGAATCGGGGGTCGAGGTCCATATTTTGTTTCTTGTATGTTTCAAAATTTAATATGTGCTTTCACTCAACCATTTTTCCCTCGTGAACAGAGTGGACAAATGGTTGCATATGTTGAACAACATGAGGATTGGGACAGATTATATTGATAGTTTACAAAAAAGATGTATAGTTACAGAATTGGGTTGGATTTTCTCTGTAAGTAATTGATACTATTAGCTTTTCTTTTATTTATAGTTTGATATTATTTTACTTCATTTTCCTTCTGTAATGCGGATGTAACTTGGGGATCAAGGGATCGTAGATGCTAAAATTAAGATGCTATCTTTTGGAGTAACCGAAACTGATTATTTGAATCAACTGAATTAAGTCTCAGCTTCCTTCTATTATGCTTTAAGATGCTGTTGGAATTGGTAGCTGCTGCTATTGGCTGACAATTATTGATGATTTTGGTCTAATTTTTTTTGGGTAAATTACATGTTTAGTACCTAAATTATCAGTTTTGGTCCGTTTTAATTTTCATTATATATATATATATAAACATTCATTAAGAGATTGAATACATGAACTTGTCTGTTCCTGGTTCACTTGTGCAAATACTTGGTCATGATATTTTTATATAAAATTTATATAGTTTTTAATCTAGTATTCTTCATTTGTTTTTATTTTCACTCTAGATAATATTAACGTGGAAAAAACTATTTGGAAAACCTACCAGACAAAAATAATCTTTCGAAAGAAATGTTAGGGAGAATTACGCATTTAGTATCTAAATTATCAATTTTGATCTGTTTTAGTACTTAAATTTTCAAAATCATATCTAATGTTTATTTTTTGTTTCATTGAATACCTCCATTAAAAATTTAACGCATTTAGTATCTAAACTATTAGTGTTGATTCGTCTTAGTACTTAAACTTTTAATTTTTTTGAAATTAACATTAAGTTCTTAACGGGGTTATTAAAATGAAACAAAAATTAAACATTAGGCATAATTTTGAAAAGTATGATTTTGAAAAATTTGAAAGCTTAGGTACTAAAATGGACCAAAATTGATAGTTAAGGTACTAAATGTGTAGTTTACCCAAAATGTTAAAGAAATAAATTGAAGGCTTAATTATAAAATAAGTGTCTAAACTATACCATTTTTTCAAAATTGGTGCCAAACTTTTTTTTAAATCATTCAGGTGCTAACGTTACAAATGTTACTATTTTAGGTGCTCGAGTCATAATGGCTGTTGAATTCTACTGTTAAGTGACATGTATACCTTATGATAATTTTAAAAATTTTATTTTTAAAAAATAAAATTATATATATTTTAAAAACCTCAAAAATTTCAAAAAAATCTTAGAGTTTTGAAACTCCAAATTTTAATCCCTTAACCCACATCTGTCGTAGTCGTTTGTTCCACCCTACGACAAGCTAAACCTGATCATAAACGTTGCGTTTCTGACAAAGGAAACAATAAAATCGCGACTTAGAACCATGTCCTAAATTTGTGACACCTAAATGATCCAACGATGCGCACGATGGCAAGGGAGATAACAACCAACAAGGGAGATGGCAAGGGCGAGATCAGCAGTCATGGTCAGCAAGGGAGGTTAAGGTTAGGGTTAGGGATATGGATTTTTTTTGTAATTTTTAAAAAAATAGGATTTTTTTATAAATATAATAATTTTTTTTAAAAAAACAAGAATTACCAAAGCGTGATACGTGTCACTTAAAAAAATGGTTGTTACGTCACGATCACCTAAAATGGTAATATTTGTAACGTTAGGCGCTTGGATAATTCAAAAAATAAAAGTTCAGGCACCTATTTGGGAAAAGCGATATAATTTGGGCACTTATTTTATAATTAAACTTAAATTAAAATGAATATTACATAACAAGGTTAACTACATATGATTGATTACTTATGTTTGTGTTTTGTCAACTTTTACTCACATATTTCAAAAAACATAATATATTGTCACTTTCATTTTAATTAATATGTGGTCATCACGAGTTAAGTATCGTTAATAGTTAACATTTAACAGATTAGGTGATGTGACAGCTAAATATTTTGGTATAATCACATATTTTGTAACACCTTAAACCAATACGACACACAATCAATCGACTAGAATACTACACGAAACCATCAGAGTGGTTGACCAAAAATTTTCTTTAATTTCTTAATTGAATTTTTTTTTTAAAAGTGCTCATAGTAAAATAAAGCGACCACATTTATAAAAATAGCTTACATAAAGAGTTTCCAAAAATAATAATTCAAAATATATAGACCAACTTTTTAAATAAAGTTATGACTCAACAAGTACAAGTGTCCACAAGTATACATGCCCTCTAAAGAAGAACTCGAGACGTACTTTGCTACTTGGCCTGTATTTTAACTGCTCAAAAGGCTCCTCGACTGCTCCTCTACTAACCTGCATAAGGAAACAAATTTCAAACACAGAGCTAACTAATATATAGTGCCACAGTAACAACTAAATTATACTAAAAATATTCAATTGAATGCTCAAGCTATAAAGTATAATGCATCAGTAAGTGTACTCGTATACTGCACTCTTTACTCTATGGTAGACATCATGGTGCGATTGAGGCTTCTGCATGTCGGAGCTTACATACCCCTCTAGTCTATCGAGGATGTGCTCGAAATCTCTACACCGAACACAACATACTAAACTAACCCACCCCTCGCGAGTATCGGGTCTCCCGCCCTAGTTAGTCAATTTAAAGTGTCTCACGTACTACCTAAGGATATCCGGACTGAAACTGCTTTCTCGATACTAGTATCATTTCTAAAGTAACCCGGGTGTCTTGATCGTTTCCCGAGTATTCAAACAAGGCTAGTTCTATGTCATCTTAATTGATCTCGTTTCTAATGTGATTAAGAAATATTATTGTTACCACTTGAAGTCTCATTTGAGAGTAATTAAAGCCTTTGGGAAACCACATTTGCCTCTTAAAATCTCTTGGGTTTCTTGCCCAAAGATGAATGAGGGTATCAATACTCACCTTTGGGTATCGATACCTTAACGTTAAATCAAGTTGGAAATTGGTGATTAGTTTCGATACTGATCCAACAGTATCAATACTCATGAACTAGGGTACCAATACCATTTGAGGTATATATACTAAAATTTGGTTCATAAAACTCTATTATCGATACCCTGTTGAGAGTAACGATACTGGTATCGATACTCCCATGAGAATTGGTACAAAAAATGGCTACTGGAATCTGCTGAGTTGCCTCACTATCGATACCATTTGAGAGTATTGATACCTCACCTATAGTATCTGAAGACACCAGATTTTGTCATGCCAACCGAGGAGTCTTCATGTAACCAAAAAAGAAGAGTTGGATTAGGACTCAAATACTAGTCTAAAATAGAGTTGGATTAGGACTCAAATACAAGTCTAAAATAGGGTTTTTAGTACTATAATTACCACACCAGGGGACACGATTATCATACGGGATTACGCACACAAAAAAATACCCAAAGCAAATATGCAATAAGCCCAAAAGATTCGCTTGTAATTTTCAACAGAGAAATAAAAGAGTATTTTTACCTATATTGCTTCGATTCTCGCTTGCATGGGGCTTGTTTCACTTCTTCTTTTCCGTTTTTACTTTGAAAGGGCCGATGAACACAAGTGAACCGAGATCTTTTCTCTTAGATCTACGCTTCCCCGAGGCTTATTTTGAAAAACCGGTTTGATTTTCGGTTAAAGGAGGGGAATAGCTTTTTAAAAATCTATATTAGTCCCTTTATTTATTATATGGATATTTTATTCATTTATTTTTATTATTCATGTTATTATTATACGTATATATATATATATATATATATATTTTAAATTATTTTCATTTGATTTTTTATTATATATATATATATATATATATATATATTTCTTTAATATTTTACTTATAAGTCTATTATTACTATATATTGTAATTATCTTTATCTAGTTATATTTTTTATACTTTTAATAGTTTATTTATATACCTATTATTAATATATATATATTCTTAATTATTTTTATTTGATTATTTCTTTATTTACGTAATATATTTTATAACTTTATATATATATACATATATATTATTTTTTATTATTTTCGTTTTTTATTCATTATTATATTATTTTTTAAAAAAAATCTTGTGTCTTTATCATTATTATTATTAAACATTATATTATATACTACTAACTTAGAGGGCCCATTTTTTTGTTTTATTTCTAACTAAAGTCTCTCCCACTTTCATCTTTTTGTCTTATTTCTAACTAAAGCCCCCCACTTTCGGTGAAGTGAGAGGGTAGATTTTCTATTTTTAAATATTTGTTGTATATATATATATCTTATTTATTTTATTAATACTTTGATGTATATATATATATATATATTCCCTTTTTCAAATATTACTATATATAATTATTACTTTACTATTTTTTTCCTTATCTTATTTATTTATTTTATTTATTTTATTTTTTTCCTTTTATTTTATTCTGTTTATCTTATTTGTTTTCTTTACCTTGTTTATCTAACACATTTCTCGATTTTTTAAGGATATTTTCAAATCAATCTAAGGTAAGTAATCATGATCAAATTTTACCTTTTTATTTAAAATTACAATTTTTTTAATTTAAGACAACTGAAAATTATATGGTACCGAAAGGGCGGTTCAAGGGTGCTAATCTTTCCTTGACCGTAACCGACTCCCAAACTCGACACATTTCTGGTATAACGCAGATCAGGTAAAATGGTGTCCAACCCACCTAAATTCGTTTTAAAGTGGTCGGTGGCGACTCCAATCCACATTTTTCTAAGTCGAAGCCCAATTCCGGGGCCCAACCGAAAGACGGTTACGACAGCTTGGCGACTCCGTTGGGGACAGGTAAGCGAGTCAGGCTAAGGTAATTTTCAGTTGTCTTTTTAATGAAAAGGGTAAGTTTAAATTTTAAGGTAACATTTCGATCCTTATTGCTTACTTTTGATTATATTTTTCTGAGTAAATAGTTGACTGACCGTTTTCTAATGATTTCAGCTTCCCAAACTTTTTTCATCTAAAGGCTCTATACCCGAGCTCCGAACCCTTTTTAAATGGGGGTGAAAGCGACGCATTCGTGTGAATTTATTCACCGCATATGCCTAGCAAGTAGCCTTCGGGATTCATATACCTTATGTTTTCGTGTGAATTTATTCTCTGCATAGACATAAGGGAATGTGTCCTCTCGAGTTTAACTTAGTCCA